TTTTTTTTTTTTTTTTATCTAGCTAACTGAGTTGAACACATTCTTTTTGAAACATATCTTTGTGTTCCAAGCAAGCCACCCATTAAGCTGGGGGAGAATTCTGTTCATAGGAATCATTACAGCCCCCACTGTAAGGTAATTTTTTGCTTTGGTGGTTTTTTTTCAGTTTAAAATAGCTTAATTTCTAAACATCCAAAAACTGCATATAGTTTGGGAATGAGTATGGCACATAAATGAGATGCATGCTTTTGCCACCATGAAATGCAAAACAATCATCACTTTTCAATGAAATGTATTTCCTGACAAACTAATAAGGTAAAATGTACATAAACAATAGAGTTGCCATAGGGATCAGAACCAGTCTGTTCCTTCTCCTGTTTGTGTAGCATCTCCCTGTTTTGTGAGTTAGCTGCATCTGTTATCCTCGAGGACTGCGTGTGAAAGTATTCAAGTTAATGAGTCAGATGCTCCACAAAGTGAGGATGAGGAAAAATAGAGCTGTTGGTTTTTCTAACAGCTCTTTATTCTGTTTCTTTACAGAAAATATTAGCATGTTATACAAAAAGATTGAGCAGTAGCTTATTGTCAGAACAAAACAGTATATGTGCAGCATTAGCAGCTRTATAGAAACATGAATCTGCTTTTGGTCCCAAGTATGATTTTATCTTTTTAGCAAAGTCTCTTAATTTTTTTTTCCCCATTACTTAGTTGGAGGTAGAAAGAATGCACACAGGTCTGAAGTTAGAATCAGTGAATTCCCCATTCATGTACAGTGATATTATCTTGGGCAGTTAACGGCAGCCATGATTTGGTTTATTCCTCAAATACTGTTGTTAGTGTCTSAAGTAATGTACAGTGATTTCATTCTATAATTTAAATCATGCTAAACACACTGTGAGCTCTTGTATAGGTGGACTTTTAAGGTTTTTTTTTTTTTCCTTTGTAGCACTTGGACACCTGTAGAAGTCTTTATTCTTTGGCAGTCCTTGTACTGTTGAAGTAATAACACTTGTTTTTCCCATCTGTCAGTGGAAATCAGAAACTGAGAACAGGAGCTTTGATTCCACTTCTTTTGAATTCCCCTCTCTAAATTCTTAAATTTCTGGAACATAGAGAACAGAGCAGAATGGTCTTCGTCCTGCTTTCAAAATAGTGAAAAATTCTACTCTTCTTGAGAGGAAAATATCCCAGTGGTTAGACCATTCAAYGAGGATATGGAATAGCCATATTCTTGCAAAATTCAAACCCCCATCTCTCAAGAAAATGCAATTGTTAGTAAATAAAAGACAAACTGTCGAAAAAATGAGGGATTCTCTAATCCTCTTGAAGCTGTTGCACTTTGCCTATAAGAATTGGAGACTCAGTGGAGAGGCAGGAGACAAATGTTGCTAGCCTACTAGTTTGGGTACTTTCCCAGTCCTTGCTCTCAGKATTGTTTTCTGTGTTGTCTCAAGCTATTTGATATATGTGATAATCTGTCCTGCTAGAATTGAAGCCATCTGGTAGACATCCAGAACGACTGCATGTGAATTTAACCATCAGCACTTCATTTTCACCATAGAGATATCTGTAACACAAATTTGTTTTCTAAATATAAATATTCKGGGACTTTCAACTTCACTTAAGAATTCTCTTGCTTCCCTTCTCAGGCAATACTATGCTTACCTCACAGACACACAGTGCAAGAGGGTGGGAACTCAGTGCTGGGTGTTCGGGTAAGTGTTTTTYCTGCATTCCTGAAGCACTTGGACGAGTGTTAAGTATGGGTCCAGCACCAGAACAGGCAGTTCCTATGAAGCCAGTCTTTGTCTTGTGTTGATTTTGGTTTTGCAMGTTGAGTGGAAAGGAGAATCCTGAATTTGGAGGTAGAATATGGGAAGTGATGGAGCAATAAGGACAACAGAAGGAAGTACTGGGAACTACTTGGTAAAGCTAGGTTCCTTCAAAGTAGCATTGGTCTTTCTGCCCATATTCTGTCAGGTGAGAGGGACAAAGCTTTTGCCTCTACAGCTTGCCTTTGCTAGATTGTTGTGAGAGTAATGTTTCCTGGCTGCCAAGGTGAGCATTGCTGCTGTTAGCAGCATCACAGCAGAGGACAGGGAAACAAACCATGGGTATCCTCTATTTCTATGAGTGCACCATGAGCTGTGGTGACTTTGGCTGCAATCTGTCTCTTAGAGGACACCTTCAAATTAAGAGTTTGTTTGACTGCTTCTAAAAAATTGCTAAGGATTACAGAAACCATCRTCCTTGATTCAAAGCTCTCACTGAATATGTTAGTGTCATGTGTCTCAAATAGATACCCAAATATGTCTGTACAATTGCAAGACAAGAACTGCAATTGAACATTCACCCACAGTCTGATCTAATAGTGAAAAGTGTGCATGGAATAAGTATTCTCCTTCATACTGCTTACTTCTGCAATCTGCTAGAAAAAACACAGCAGCACTAGGAGTTCCTGTTGATTGCTAAAAAAGAGGAAATCTTCCAATAATTTAACTATTTAGAATATAATTTCTGAAGCAATTAAAATAAATGTATAGAATATTTATATCTGTGATAACCAAGATGTTTCTAAAGGCAAATCAAATTTTTAACAGTCTAACTAYGGGTATAATTTGAATTAGTGCCTTTCATTAGAATGAAACTGTTTCTTTTCAACCTGACATGTACTATTGTATCACTCTTGATAGATGTACAGTAAGTGTTTTAAGGTATGAACAAGGCCAATGCAACAGCCCTGCTGAAATTGCACTGTTTTCATTAAGATTAAACCTTTCAAAAAGGAGTATCTGTTAGAATGTTCAAGACCATTTTGATTGAATAAAAACTTACTGTGTTTAGTTCTATGGAATCCTCTCATCACCTTTCAGTAGGACACTAACATCTTTCACTCCTAGCATCCTTCTTTCTCTTGATTTACCACYTCATAAACTGCAATGGCTGTCATATTGTAAAATGTGCTTAACCCAAGTATTCTTCACGGGAATAACAGAAAGAATGTATAAATGCAGGGCAAACAGCTGTATTATTTTTTTGAGTCCTTAGTGAAAATAGTCTATTGTTTTGTTTATACCTTTAGTATATCATAACCCTATGTTTGTTTCCTGATGGTGGTCTTTCTCTTCCCACTCCTGTAGTTTCGTTTAAATTTTTTTAGATTTGGAATCTGGTTTAGATTTAGAATTTGGTTTAGATTTTTTTACTCTGAAGCTGGATCAGTAAGAATAATATTAAACCAAGAAAGAAAAATAGTTGGTGACCCAGCAGAGCAATTTTTTGCTAATATGCATCTCATTAATTTGTATATTGGTCTGTTGGATATTACCACAATTTTAAGTTTTGGCCCCACGCATCATGCTACAAGTCATATTAAATAGTACAGGGAAAGCTGTAATTTATTACTTGCACAAGGRCCATCTCTGCAAAAACAGTGGTTTAGTCAAGCACAAATCTTTCCTCCTTCTTTCATGGGGGAAACTGGGTCTTCTCTGAAAGGTAGTAGTGGCATTTGTGTGAACTGGTTATGAAGAGTGCTGCAGTGTCAAGCTTGGGAGATGGAGCACTTGACCTGATGTCAAGTGTAGCTGCACATAGGTGAGGAGGAGTTTTCATGCATTGCTTGGATGTATGACCTGAAAGTCTCTATTGAGCAAGCTAAGCATTGCACTTTAAATTTAGTAGTGTTTTTCATTATTTGCTTCGGATGAGATGAGTTGGGTTTCTACTCTTCTGCTGCACATTTTTAGTGTGATGTTTCTAGACTTGTATTTGTTAAACATATGTAATTTTCTCTTTAGGACTTATACAAACTAAATTTGTTTCCTTGGCAGACARTAGAAACTTTGGATTCATAAACAAGTGGTGGACAAGCCTTCACAGCTTTGAACCTGAAAATTTGTAGACTCTTGGTAGCAGGAGATACTTTTTAAAAATTCTATTGGTGTCAGAGAGGAACATAAAAACTGCATTTTTTTTCCTCTCACATTTGTCCTCAAATCCTCTGATGCTGTAGTATGGACCTGAGTTTACAATAAACCACACCAAATGCATGGATTCTTGGAAAATTTGTAATGTTGTTTCATAYGAATTTTCTCATATGTGAAAATATGGGAAATACATGTGAAGCAARCAAAGTAGACAATTTAGAATTGTAGTAAATTTACATCTAGTAGAGAAATACACAAAACACAGTTCTAGTTCAGGCAACAAGGGAGTCTGTTGGATGTTTAGCATGGAAAAGAATTTTATATTTCGTGAGAGTTGAAGCACGGTGGTAGGCACAAACGAAGATTCCCTGCTATTGGCACACACTCCTTCTTGTTCCCTGAAACCCCATGGAATAGTGAACTGTAGTCAATCACTTTTGTGTGCTGTTTATACTGAAAAAATTATAGAAAGGCATTTTTCAAAGAATTTCAGATAATGGTGGTGTCAGGGAGGTGTGTGCTCTTTAGAGGGTAGTGCTTGTTCAGAGTTGACAGTTTGGGGTCTGCGCTTTGAACGTGAATTAAATCCTTAGTGTTTTTAATCATTCTCCCCTCTGTTTTCATTTACCCACAGAGTAATTGCCTTCCTCGAAGCTATTGTGTGCATAAAGTTTGGACAAGATCTTTTTTCCAAAACACAAATACTGTATGTTGTGTTTTGGCTTCTCTGTGTGGTAAGTGAGATTTCTCATRTGAAACATAAAGCATGACAAAAGCATTGAAAGCATCTAAATAGCTTCCTCTCTGRAACATTGGCAGCAGAGGATCATTGTGGACGAATGCTGGTAAAGAGCTTTGTGCATGTCCTAGGAAAAGCAAATCTTAGATTGCTTAGAACTCACTTTTAAGGGATTAGAATAACTTTTTTTTCTTATTGGTTGACATAGCAGATTACTGGTGCTTAACAATGAAACAAACACTAGTTATAGAGTGCTTTATCTTTATGAGAAATGATGTCAGTTTGATTGAGCYTAGCTTTGGTGGGGCTTGCTGTAATGCCTGCTGGAAATGAGCAGGAGTTAATGGATGGTGTTAATAAGCAATGCGTGTAGTGCCACACTGAAGTCTTACAACTACATAAACAGCCCTGATTTATCAAGCAAGTCATTCTCACTAAGCCTRTAACTTTCTTTACTTCAGTGTGATTACTGCAAATGCAGCATGAAATGCCCATTTTATAACAGTAAGTGGACGTTTCTCTTGCCAGACGTGTAACTCTGATACCAAACACATTTTTCATGGTCAGTGAAAAATAAGGCATTTATAATGGGCTGACAGATAAATACTTCTGCCTTCTAATTGGGAACAAAAATTGAACAGGTGATGGGGAATTGGAATTTATTGTTCTCTTATTTAGCATGATGTTTTTGTTCCTGAAACTTCAGAGGAGAAAAGTAYTGAATTGCTTGTTGGGTCAGAGTACCATAAAACCAAACATGTAACCTAGCCTGAAAGACAGGGCAGGGAGAAGAATTTGGTTTTCTCCCGGGCTGGTTGTTCCTGTTAATATACTGACAAGTGCCTACCTAGTGCCTTTGTATAATGACTGTAATGTGGACAGAAATCCTGCTGGCAGTGTTTCTTGTGGGTCATCTGTATGTATTTTCCTGTTCCCATTGAGAATTGTTCTTCATACCCCATGCTGGTAGAATCTGTGTGTACCTTGAAGTTGATGCATGAGTCTTAGTCATCCTGACAAAAGATGTGGGGAGAAACGGAGCATGAAAGTCTAAATGTGACATCTCCAGGGACTCTGAGACCTTGAATCAGCTAGGAATTGAGAAAAAGTTATACATATTTTTTTGTTTGTTCTCTTTCTTTCCTCTCTTGTTTAGGCCTTTACGACTTTCCTGTGTTTATATGGTATGGTTTGGTACGCAGAGTACTATGGCCACCGTGAAAAGGTACTTATATAAAAGAAGCTTGGTTTTGTTTTATTCCAGAGTCAAAACTGCAARGCTCCTAGATACTGGAATTCTTTACCAGAGCTAGCATAAATGGGGATAAGGGGGGGATGGTCCAGAGTGTAACTGAAGTCAATAGAAGGAACTCTGAATTCAGCAGGCCTTGGACAGATCCCAAATTACACTGTGGTTTCTAAAGAACGCTGTCCTCTTAGTTACTCAAAATGAGGCTGTAATTTTAGCAAAGCATTCAAGGGTGAATGGTTAGCTAATGTTCCCATTGTACAGGTGGAATGCTAGGGGAATATTAAGAATACTGAGTTACACAACAGATCACATGGCAAGTGGTGAGTTCTTATTGTATCATTTATGTGGTGCCTTCTAACTAGGAAGGGAAAAGTCCCAAGTACTGTCTGAATGTTTTATGAGGACTTCTACCACAGTTTGTTTACAAGTCCAATTGCAAATGGAAGGAGTGCTGATATCAAGAGCCACCAACATCCCAGTGATACGTGTCCTTGTTTTTGCAGACCTTATCAGAAAGTGAAGACAGTCCATACAGTCCAGATGCTTCCTGGCTTCATTCTAAATTCAGCAGAGGTATTGGCACTTTTGTAGCTGTATTCTTGAAACGGTATCATTAAGGCTCAGCATGAGAAAATGAGGCTTGAGAAACTTACCTAACAAACAGCTGGACTTGTTTTAACATCCCTGCAGGAGCAATGCRGATAAATCATCTGCAATTTTGCTTTACTGCCTTTTTAAATTCCAATTCTTGGAAATGTATTTTTCTCAATGTATCAACTGATTTTTTTTTTCTGCTGTTACTCCAGGCCATTATTGTTCATAAATGGACAGGTTTTCTCTCTTCTCTCTGAACATTGCATGTTTGATTTGAAACATATGAATGCGAACTGTACTTTTACTTCTGCTTTTTTAAGAAATAGTCAGCAATGTGACCTGGAAATCACGTTCTTACTGACACTTGCCTTTTCAGTGCAGTGCTGATGGTCATAAGCAGCTTTCTCTGCACTAAGCAAAARCAGCTTCTATCTGACTTCTTTTCCCTGAAGAAGACTGACTAGCAGTTAGTCATCTGCCTCCTCCACTGGTTTTTTGGTGTGGTCTTGCAGATTGGACAAATATCAAGATTCACACCTGGAAGTTATCTTTCAGAGCTTGTGTTTGTATAATTAAARGCACTACTTATCTATCATGTGCTTGAAAAGCACCTATAACAGATGATCTTTATGTTTCATACATGATTTTTCTGGATGTTTATTCTCAGTTTAGTAAATTTGTGGACTTCTATATTTTGGAGAGAAATTATTTGCACTCAGAATGTTTCTTCCATTTATGCATGCTGGAGAAATCTGGCAAACCCCTTTCTCTGTAACTTCCTCTTATTTCATTGATTACAAACTTCAGCTTCTTTCAAATTTTGGTCGTGATTCTTGTTTTAGTCCCTACTTTTTCCTTTTTTTCTCAGAATCAAGCATGTTCTGTTGTATGACAGACTYGAATCTAGAAGTGTGTTCTTATAAGACCTTGCTTTCATAGTTCTTAATTTCCAACAGTAGTGCCTGCTGCTAAGAAAAATGTGGAGGTCTAATTATTGCTGTGATTTAAAATGGAAGATGTTTCACCATTATACTCTGCCATAGCAAACTTCTTATTTTTTTGTGGTAGGGAAGAATTTTGCAGGAGTCTTAAGAATTGCTTAAAAAAATAGGCCACTAGATGGAGTACCAGTATCAACCTGAAATAATCCATATGAAAAACACKGTAGCTCTAAAAAGCATTACTGTCTTTCATATAGGAGCTTGACAATGTTAACTATATAAATATGTATATGTATTAAATAAAAATTTATTTCTCAGCAGGTGGTGACAATAGTCCACCAAAACCTTCAGTCAATAGTGAAAGCCATTCATCTAGAAGGAGGAATCGRCACTCCAAATCAAAAGTATCAAATGGAATTGGCAAGAAATAAGAATGATATCTAAAGGCATCCTACAGTGTGACCAGAAGTGACAAAGATCATCAGACCCGGCTCTGAATTACCAAGTGGAAGATCAGTTCTTAAATTAAAGTTTTAAAAGGGAAGTATTGAAGAAAACGATGATGAAGATGGAGCCACCAATGTAGTGCARATCATTGCCTGATGACACTTGCCATTCACTGATATAAATCTATTTTTTTCCAGCATGTGACACCGTAAGCTCATGAAGGGTATACTGGAAAAAAATGTAGTTTTGTCATAGCAGGTACACCCTGTTTTGTGTTTAGGTGTTGCAAGTTTATTTTTACTATCATAGTTGAGGACTTAAGYCCAAGGGTTAGTAAGCTGATAGTCAGTTGCCATAGTTGATTGGATTTTTTTTGTTTGGTTTGGTTTACTGTGTTAATTGTTTTCTAAAAGAGTATGCAACCCTTTGACTGAAAGCAACTCTGCCCTTCATTCTCAGTCTCACAACAGAACTTTTCCATACAACTGTTACTAAGTATTTAAAAAATTCACATTGCTTGCTTTTATTTAAAGGCTCTTTAGGCCTTGTGTCAGGGTTTTACTGGGAAGGAAATGCATTCAGGTTTGTTGTAAAGGATATCAAATTGCTCTTCAAACACAAGAGGTTTTTTTGTTCTACATTGTCCTCTTACTTGATTCATACACATTCAATTTTGTTCTACATTGTCTTCCTGCTTGATTCATACCCATTCAATTTTTTTAAGTTTTTAAAATACATATCTAAAAATCTGCTTCATAGTAGAGGGCTTTGTGTCCGGTCCTCAGAGACAGAGGTCACATTATTTCATTGTTTTTCCTCCTCTATTGTAATATGTTTTGCATTTTCAAATGTAAATATGTCTTTTTTTTCTGTGCCACATTGTGTACAATGTTTCTTCCTACTTTCTTCTATTTGCTTCCATCCCAGCTGGATGCAGAAATCCTATTGTCTTCAGACTGATATCAGAAACTGCTTTGAAGGCTCAGATGCCCTACTGAGCTTGGTGATAAGGCAGCTTTTCACTGAAGCTGAGTTGCTTACTATTTCCATAAACARAATTATTTGTGAAGCCTTGCTGTAATCTTTGGTGTCTGAGAGGCAGCACGATGTCACTGTGATATACCCCATTGCTTCAGTGTTTCCTTTCGTGCTTCAGATACTCAACAGCAAAGTCACTTTTTCTTGCGGTTTTTTTTTTTTTTTGAGAGGGGTGATTTACTTCTTGTGTGGGTGTTCCTTTGTGTTTTTTTAATGTATTAATTGTGACATCTAGCAAAGTGGATAATTCTCCAGCAGTGAATGTAATGATTAAGTCAAGAGGTAAGCAATCATGAGCAATCAGTTTCTGTATTAAGTTATCAAAATGTTTTAGTGCCAATTAAATTTTGGGATTCAAGGCATTCAGAGGGGAGATAGCTTAAACAAGGATAAGTAATACCCATTAGTTACTTAGTCTTTATGAGAAAATGGGATTTTTTTTTCTTTGACTTATGTTACTGTGATTTGCCACAGGCTAAGTACTAAAGAAAAAAATGCAGCAGAGACTTTATACAAGTGTATTATACTGTAAATAGAAGAAAGTATCCTGTGTAATCCATCAATTCCTATGTGCCACAGATTATCAGTGTTTTCAATGCACTTAAGTGTTGCTGCTGAGCTCCTCAGAGGCCTTTAATTTCCTACCCTGCTTTTCAATCAAACATGGAATGTGCAACTTGGAAAGTAATGTAGTAGAAGCTGCTGTATCATTGCTGCAGTGACATTTAATGTTACATGAAAAAAACTGTTAGGAAGATTTTCAGACTCTCCTACAACTACTTGGTTTTCATTCATACTATYGCAATTCCATGTACTGCCTTTGTTTTTGTAATGTACTACATATTGATGAATGTATTTGTAGATTTCTTTGGATACTGAGAATTGTTACTTTTTTATTTCCTTGGTTAAAAACTCAGTCTGTGTAAGACTGAAAAATGGCATTGTAAATTTTCTATTGATTCAATACCAAAGCAAGAGATTTGAAGTCTAATGGTTTAAGTATTTTAAGTACTGTGTTTTTCAAAGGTGAGAGCCTATTTTRTATTTGCTAGGGATATGCACACCAACTATGTATACAAAGCTTACATGTGTAAACAGATGCTGAAGTACACCATCTACCTGCCTGTGGGGACAAGCACACATTTTGTAAATGCAGACCTGGTGCTCACATTGCTGAACTGCACCCTAAAAATATTAGAAAGAGAAATATTGAAGTGTCACCTTATTGGAATCTGACGTCTCTRTGTTATTACAACAGCTTGGCCTTGAAGAAATGTTGTTTGACAACACCTTTAAATTATTTCCAATTAAGTCTTTTTACTTTAAATTTATGTGTTCGGTTGGTTTTTTTTTGGTTGTGTGGTGTTTGGTTTTAGGGGCAGGGTTGGGAGGCTGTTGGTTTCAGGGGAGGGTTTGTTGTTTGTTTTGGGGCTTTGTTTGGGTTTTTTGGGATTTTTTCTTGTTTTACTTTAAAAGAGAGATGGCTATGGAGAGGAGAAACTTAAGTAAATTATTCAAGTGCTTCTTGAAAAATAACACTTTGTCTCTTCTATCAGTAGTTCTGGCTGAAATTCACATGTTTTCTCACAAGTTTTCCACTGACTGACAACTGTATTTTCAGCCCATCATTTTGGATGTGAGCTTTGCMCTGGAAGGCATTGGAAAGATGCTTTTGATCACTGCTGTAAAATGAGTGATCTGGATTTTATCAATTACTGTGCTGTTGCTGGATTCTGTATGTGTGTAACACCTGCACTGACAAATCACTGCGCTGTTTAGCAACAAGMATCCATGTGTGAGTTCTGCAGCTTGAACAGTGTTTTGTGACAGTCATGGATGTGCTGKCCTGTTTTTAACTACTTGGTCTGTCACAGCCTCTCATTCCTACTTTCCTGCTTCTGATGTTCTTTCCTTTCTCTGACCTCTAATGATCTCCCCTGCTGCGATGGGGAGATTGGAATTGGCCCTCCAGAGGCTGTCCATCAATGTCAGTCATTGAAGGGAGGCTAATTCAGGGCAGCGTGGTGTAAGCAGAGGGTAGTGGCAAGAACTTTAAGTAATAGATTAAATAAAAATGGAGGTATACAATGAACCAGAGCTCATGTTGAGTACTGAATTCCCATMTTAAAGTTGCTGCATATATTATACACTACATCTAATTAAATATTTGGAGCATGGTTTCAGCCAATTCTTTTGTTACTCTTCTGTGAAGATCATCACAAGATGTTCCAGCTGTTAAAACTTTTTTTTTTTTACTTTGTTATCACAAGAAGACACAGATCTTACCACTTATTTAATAGTTTTGGAATAGAATTGCTCTGTATTGATTGCAAAGTATTGCATTTTGCAATAATTGAGTAAATCAACCCATGTCACCAGTATGTGTGTTTGTCTGTACCTGTAAGGCATAGGAGATGATTACATACTGCCTTTAGAAACTATTATGTTTTATTCTAAGTAAATGAATTTTGACAAATGYAGTGGTTCCTGAGCAGCCTACAGTGCACGCTAAGATTTTGCTGGAATTTATGATTTTGGAGCAGCAGATCTGATAATATAAACAGTTACATTATCTCTTCTGAAGTTTTTCTAGTGTACAGAATAAGTTCTTGTGTTAATGGTTCGTTTTGGATTTTATTTACTATTGTATGGGAGAGCTGAGTTGCAAGATGGTCTCATGAACAGACCTTCAGAGTAGAAACGAGGCCTCCTGTACAGGGACTGTAGGACAGGCTGTGGGCATGTAAACAATCAGATTAAAGGTGCCACCGAGTGCTAGAGACTTTGCTTTGGCTTCCACTGCTGATAGTCCCCACAACAGCAGTGTCCAGTTTTGTTATACCTAAAACTGTTGTGAGCTGTCGAATGCTCTTAGAGCCAGAAGTGTAGTTTGTAAAGCAGCATGGCTTTCCTTTTCTTCCGCAGTTCCTTCTCTGCACAGACATKGAATACTGAGACTTTCTGACTTGGTGGGAAGGGCTTTTCATCAACATGAGTTATCTTTTTGAATACAGATTTAAGAGAGGCCATAAATTCTGAGGTTGTAGTAAAGTTAAGAAGAACCAGGACTTAAGTTTGTTCATAGTCTGGGAAGAACAAGCGTTGAGTTTGTAAACATCTTCTGAGGGGTAGGAAGATACCTGATTAAACAATTTATAAGAGACTCCTATCTCAGAATACTGCTTACCGCATTAGARAATGGGGGTACCTTTTCATTCTCCATTAAAGCATTAAAAATACTGGCAAAAACTTGGAACAGTGGAAGAAACTTGGTTTAAGAAACAGCATTTGAAAAATGTACTCCTTTGTAAGCATGGAGCTCTACTACACTTGAAGTATCAATCTTTATTTTATGTCTTGGTAGCTGAGTGTGGAGCTTAATCAGTGGTGGCTGATGGGCCAAGTGGCTTCCTTAGTTCTCAGTCATGCAGTGGCTCAGCTTGCACACTGCTGAGGTCATATATTTGGCACAGACTGAAAGTTGGAACCAAAAGTTGGTATTGTGATTGAAACACATGTTGGTGTGMCTACTTTGGTGTCTTAGTGCTCACATTCACCTACATCCTGTTAACACATGCATAGACCTAACATGCAGTACTTTTCTGAGCCACCTATTCTTTCTTGTATATACTGCAGCACTCTTAAGAAATACACAATTAGGTTTAACCAGAGGTTCCTAAGCTGATTTTGAGCYTTGTATGCTCAAAATCCCTCCTGCAGTACTCTAGCTCCCTCTCTCTGCAGGTGTGATCTGCCTTCTTGTCTGTCTACAACTACGGTTTYGTTCTCTGGAGCCATTATGCTGGCAAATTAAAAGTGCTGTTTCCTAGTTGAGGGGCAAAGACCCTCCCCACATTACTCATTTTGCTTTTGTATAGCTGGTCACGAATTGGGCACATACATATTACTCAAAGAAAGTAGGACTAGAAAACCACAAGCTCTTCATACAGTGGGCTGAAAAGCACAAGGACAGCCAGACTCCTGACATATGCCCAGCAGGGTACACCGTCTGTTATCTTTGTGCCTGCTCACTCATCTGTCAGGGCTGTGGCTGCAGGTGCACCTCAGGTGCCTTCCCCTGTGCTGGTCTCGTGTGTACGAGCCCTCCCTGAAGCCAGCTSATAGGCTCTGCTACTTCCAGCTTTTTTTTTTACATTTTGGCTTTCAGGCTTGCTCACTTTTTGTATTGTACCAGTCAAGCCAATAACCTACCCATGTGTGAGAGGTCTGCATAAACCATGAGGCTGGTCTAGGAACCCAGCCTGGGTCTGGAGAATGTACTTTTGTTTGTTTGTTTCTGGAGGATTCTAGACCTGYTGTTGCTGTTGGCAACACACAGTTTGCTATCCATCTGAGGAACATCACAAAGAGCAGATCTTACACAAGTCTTCTGCTGTATGTTTGTCACTTGTCTGGACAGCTACTCAGCAAAATTTATCAAGTTCCTTCATATCTAAAGAGGAGTCCAAGTCATGATTATCTGAAAGGACCGTGGAAATCTGRGGTATCAATTTTTATTTACAGCGCCTTCCTATGTCTTTAATTTGGACTGTATCTTCTGTTTCCATCATCTCTCAGTGAAAGACCAGAATTGGTCTCTCATGCTTGGATTTTGTTTCTCTCATAAAGGAGCAATCACCCTCAGCAGTCTAAATTTTATTATGATACGACCAAGTGAGTTTTTGCTTCAATGCAGAAAAAAAAGCAAGTGTGGGAAAGAATGTAAATTATAAACATTGAATTCCTATAATCAGCAACAATGTAAGTGCCAGACTATACTAAGGATACACATGGGTTCAATTTTCATCATTTTTTGAGGATCTCAGTTTTCAAATGATCATGAAATAACTGGATGGCTTATTTAATGTTTTTAGAGTAGGGGAATTTACAGCAGCAACATTCCTATGGCTGTGATCCAAAGTRTGTTCTACAACTGCTGTGCCCTCCAGTTCAGTATTTTAGTGGTTCTTGCTCAAAAAACAAAAGCATGAAATACTTGTGTGTGTTTCTATATGTACATATAAATCTACCAGATGAACTTTCTCATAAAAATGCTGAGATCTTGGTTCAGTACAGTGTCTGTGACAATGACTACAGAAAGTCTGAACATTTGGAAGCATCCAAGTCTGTTTGTACCCYTGGAAGCATCAGGAGGGGTAGACATTAGTCTCAGTTGTAACCCCTAGGTGATGCTGTAACACAGACACACAGAGAATGTGACCTGGATTTTCAAAAGTTGCTTCTAATTTTGGGCTACTGGCTTWAGCCACCATGGCTCGATTTTAAAGATTTCATAACTCCCGTTGACTTTAATTACAAGTGCTGTGTGCACAGGCCTGCAAAGTGCCTGTGTTGTCAAACTTGCTACARAATAACCAAAGCAAAATAAAATCAAATTAGTAGCTTTGAGAAGACTTTTAATTAACATGTTAAATGATASCTCTAGTCTTTGGAGAGCAAGAGTGAGAGACTTCTATTCTGGTTTCCACCATACACAGACTACCAATTTCTTGTCTGGGTACCTTCCCTGTTTGAAGGGAGTACTACTTTTTCCAGAGGATCTTTGGGATGAAGCTTGGGCTGTGTTCTTCTGGCTTTCCTTCTATTCCCACTGGCCTTTTTGTAGGGCACTGGGTGGGACAGGGTGACTGCTCTTTGAAAACATGGTTTGGTTTTTGCTCCCAGGAACTCAGCTGAACCAGGGCCCGATCTCCTGTTGCTGCCCATTCCCTTGAGTTTGTGGCTGTAGCCATGAAGTTGTGAATTTATCTCCTTGCTCAGATRAGCCTGTCCCTCGTCCCCACCAATCTCTTTTGGGACAGGGAAGCCACTGGGTGCAGATGGTTCTTGCTTCGTGTGTTTATGAGACTTTTGGATGGCTATAATATATATCAGTAAGCATTCAGAACTTCRTATCAATCTGCAAAGAATTCCTGTTTTTCCATTTTTGCCATTTTTTCTAAAGATTTGGAAAATCCTTCTGGTCACAAACCTCGACAAGGCYCAACTTGTACCAATTACTACAACTTCTACCTGAGTTAATGCTGAGATAGCTATTGAAGAGAAAATAATTTTACTTTCATATGGTCAGCTGAAAGAAGGAATTGCAGTCCTCATTCCTTGCAGAAGGAAACAATGTCCTTGCTCTTCTCGATCTGGTTCATGGCACTAATATGAGCAAGTTCTCATTGGTTTTGTTGTAGCCTGCTTCAGTTTGTTYAGCCTGACTTAATGGAGAGGGGAAAGAATAGAGTGAAAAATATTGCTAAGAGAGATATATTTCCATTAATCAAATAAGCAACCTGAAAGAAAACTAAGACCTTTTGTTATATTAGCTGAGACATTTAGGGTTGTGTTTTTTCTTATTTATGTGTTGTAAGTGATGCAAAACGATGCTTATAACTTTAAAAATATTATTATTTCAGCCCTTTTGCTGACTTTGCCATATTTGGCTTCCAAATCCTCATCTCTGCATTCCATTTGCCCACATTTAAAATGCATCTGGAATAGCAGGACAGAGGTTGGGGTGGAGAAACCAGATAGAGCTGAATTGCAATTTCCTGGTGACATGTTCTCTAAACATCCTGAAATATCTCTCAGGGTGAAATGTTCCACTCAGTGACTTCAGGTTTCGGCAGCACACACTGTTCATTCAGTCCCAGTGCTTCTCACAGGGATGGTAACATGATTACCAGTAATGATCTTTCATGCTGTGGAGTTTTTTTTTCTCGTACCACTTCCATGTTGAAGAAATTTCTTTGAAACAATGCATAGGACATTGCAAACTTGCTGGGGGAAGTGGCCAGTAAGTTCACGTTAAAGAATAGAAATGGGGACAAAGGGTAAGTCACTTGTCTGCATTTCCTCGGGAAGCTGAAGACAAAGAGAAGAGTAAAATCCCAGACCTTTGGTTTCCATGCTGTTACCTGAAAATTACCATGGGACTTCCTAAAAAAGAGCTTCTGTGTTAAATCCAAGAATGTTATCCACATTTCTTAGACCTTAAAAAGGAAAATATAATGCAAGATGGAACAGGAGCAAGGTGATAGCCCCCTCCATTCTTATATTCTGATCTTCATTTAATTTTGTTTCACTAGCTTACTGGAATTTACCTACCTCTCCCAGTAAGCTTTTACCACTAATACCTTGGCTATTAATGTGAAAACAGTGTTTGCTAAAGATGGATGAACACACATATGGCAAAGTAGAAGATCTTGCATACAGACTGGGAGAACTTATTGACAGTAGCCCTGTGGAGGAGGACTTGGGGGTTCTGGTGGATGAAAAACTGGACATGACCCAGCAATGTTTGCTCACAGCCCAGAAAGCCAGTTGTGTCCTGGGCTGCATCAAAAGTAACATGGCTAGCTGGGCAAGGGAGGGGATT